TAAGAATTAAGTGTTAAAACGTAGTAAAAATTATTAATAGTAGAATAAAATTACCTGATGGACAGGTGAATTGATGCGCAACTACGCCAAGTCCACTAGGACCACTATCAAGACACCAGAAATATTTCTTGCAATCACGAGGATGCGGGAAAAAGCCTTCATCCTCACATTTAAAATCTGTAAAATGCAAACCACCAATAATTTTACGTAGTAAAAATAACTTTGTCCCAAATACTTTTATACATTAAATTGAGATATTCCAAAGTCTGAAAGAGTTCGATTAATCATTGTTCAAAACATGTTTATCTCGTGATTTTCACGGAAATTTACCGGTTCCTGGATCAGGTGTAGTTGGTGGTTCGGGAGTCGTTAGCTTGTTGCTTATGGATTCCTCATTCTCACCAGTCCTGTTTTGTCCCTTACGTCTGAAATGCTTTCTACGGGTAGTACGATCAGCAGCACCGCTTTGCGTTTTACTCCTGTTTTGACTCTTCGGTCGCTCGGTTTTTTCTGTGACTCTTACAGTGTTTCTACCCTCTGCGTCTTCATCTGATGATGGATCATATGATCTCCTAGATACTTCCCGATCTTCCTGTTCCTCCTTACTCGCTTGTGAAATGGTACGATATTTTGGTCTTGAAGAGGATACACGTTTGCTGATAATCGGAGCAGACGTAGTGCTACTTCTTCGGTTGCTTATACTCGACTTACGACTGCTTTGCGTATTTTGAATGCGGTTCTTTTTCCGACTATCTGACTTCGCCTTGTCGATTATATTCCTGCTATATAATAATAATAATTTTTATGTGTACAATAATATTAAATTATAAATAAAAAATATCTAGCATCAAAAATAATATTTCGAATTAGAAAAATCTACATTTTATGTTTTATCAATTACACAGGTCTACAAAAAAAATATCCTGTGCTGGGGTGGAGACCAGCTATTTTTATCAAATTAGGACCATCTAAATTTTCAATCTAGAGCGAAAAAATGATCCATTTTTTCCCATTTTTGACCCATTTTTTCGCTCTAGATTGAAAATTTTCCCTGAATGGTCCTATTTTGATATCAGATTCATATTCAACAACTCAAAATACATAAGAATAGAAGTCTTCACCCCAATACAGGATACTTTTTTTGTGAATCTGTGTTATCATTTATTAATTTGATGTTTTGTATAGATATTTAAGATGACTTATATAACAACGTTAACGTGTACTCGTATAATACACCGAAACACTAGATAATTATTGTAATGTAATATTATTACATCTAATACATATATTATATATTATAATTATTATATCATAATATAATAATATAGTTTAGAGTGCTATTTCATATATAAGGTTACCTATTATCTGTAAGCAACGCTTCTTTGGCAGCCTCAATTAATGGATAAGGTCGACCGTGACATTTCCCACGAAAATCGTCATTGTCTATCGACCAGAACATAATGCCTCCCAATTTCTTCTCATTCACATAATGAGCTTTCAATTTGACTATGTCCTCGTCGTCATATCCTACCCACTGATTGCCTTTGAAGGCGTATGGTCCCATGGCTTTTGGATTTGATTGAACAACTTCCCATTCGTCAGAATCTGCTATACTCTCGCAAATCTTAAAAAACAAATGTTTGATTTTCAAATTTAAATATATAGGTAAAAAACATATGCTTATAACTTTAAATACATAGAATTTTTATATATACACTTTCATAAATGTATTCTCAGATAATACAACTGATCCATTATATAATTCCATTACATATAAATCCATTACATACGTAGTATACAAATTCCCACAAAATTATACAAGCACTTAAGATTCAATTATTTCTATTGGTCGTGTGCAATAAAATTTACCTCATAATAGGCAAGATAGCCTTTCTCTCGAGTGGCCTCTCCTTCGGTACCAGGACCATCCGCTGGCGACCCGAGTTCGGTTGCATCTTGATTGAACAACGTATACGACCGACCATATGTTGGTATTCCAAGAACGACCTTATCTGCGGACGCGCCTTTCTCCAAGAGATGAGTTATTGTGTAATCCTGTTTAAACATTAATGAAGGCACCTTACTAATTGATCTGGTTCAAAAGATAAGATCTTAATGAGCAAATTCTCACAATAGTCAATTCCGCATCGTAATTGTATTCGTTGTCCTCCTCCAGGGGATATAATGGTGAATGATGATTGACAGCGGGCTCGTATGCCGAGTGATAGTCGTAAGAGAGTAAATTAATAAAGTCCAAGTATTCGTTTAGTCTGGGTACGTCGTAACCTTTGTCGATATATTCGACACCGGCGGGCATCGCCATCGATAACAACAATCTCGATCTTCCGGTCTTCGAAGATTCTCTCTCAAACTCCTCACGAAGTTCCTATCAATTCGCATATTTATAATTAATTATTTTATTTAACTTTCCGCAATTCACTCCTTCTTTGATTGAAATAAGATTGCAATCAGTTTTTTATCATTTTGCGTTTATTCACATTTCTATCTGTGAGCCTTTAATATACTTTTTTTATTTGCTGAGATTTCTATAAGAATTTCACATCCTTTTTTATGATAGTAAGAAACGATTGATAAATCTACCTGCACCAAGTCGGCGTAATTGTCCTTATCTCGCGGTTTTCCGCCATCTCTAAACGCTGGATATTCCCAGTCGAGATCGAGACCATCGAAATGATTCTGCCTAAGGAACTTAACAGCGTTCTTGACGAACTCCCGCCGTCTCGCAGGATCGGCTACCATCGGTGAAAATCTGCTGGAGCCCTCATTCCAACCGCCGATCGCCAGCATCGTCTTCAAGTTCTTATTATAAGTCTTCAAACCCGTAAACTTCGCGTATCCGCCTGTCGAGTGAACATGTTCATTGAAGAGTGAAAGTTAAATATCGACCAAGTCATCAAAAATGATGTGTTCGGAGTTTGTCAATGTAGTGCATTAAACAACTTGATAAACAGAGTATTCTAACTAAACAGAAGCAATGCTGCTTATATTTAGATATAATAGATGTAAAATTAGAAATAGTTCTTGTTGTAACTGAAAGTAACATTTTTAACACTTGTGGGATGATTAACGTTTATTCTTCAATTTTCTTTGTATAATTGATTCAGTTATTATATTAAGTCACTACATTTTTAATAAATTTATGATACATTCATAAATTCATTTTAATTGAATCGTCATCGATACGCATATCTTCGATAAATAAGTAGGTAATTATAATATATAATCATTATAACAAGGCTGCAATGTTGAATGGTAATCACTATACTGTATTCTTCAATAAATTGATAATAAAATTCAACAAGTCTTGAAATGTTACATATTTTTGTACCTTTCTCGATGTCTTGATACTTGTCGAACGGTTTCAGTGCGTTTTCTTTTGTAAAACCTCCGAACGCGTAGATTAAGTGAGTGCAAAGATATGGATTTATGTTTTGAGGGGAGAATTTCGCTGTTCCGGGCCGATAAACTGACCAATTCGTATAATAACAGACAATTCTGCGTTCGGCAATTCCTAAAAGATAAAAATACAGTTATAAATATGAAAAATATATACTTTTCCTAAATCAATTATTTTTCCAATTTTTTTAAATATAGAAAGTTGACTTTTTAGATTTCTATATCATTAAATAACTATAATAATTTTTAAAGCGTTTACATGAAATAAGTTATACAAATACAAATAAACCAGATGACACCTGAATCAACAATGTATTACTATCAATAATAATTAGACCTAAAAAGTACTTAAATACACTAATAGATTTAACAAATATAATATTGACTACGAACAAAAAAAGTTTAAAATATTTAAAAATAATAATTATTTACATAGATATCTAAAATCGGTCTTTGGTTAAAGATATTTATCTCTTATATTTGGCATTTTTCTGAAAGAAGAAGAAACGAGGTCGCTTTGTTTCACAGTAATTGCTTTACTGCAATAGAATTCTTTTGAATGAAGAGACAGCTATGACAGATGCATCCTGGTGCATTGAGTCTCGCGCTGCAAGCCGCGAAAAATTTCGCTCTCTGATGTCACCTCTCAATAACATTCGGCGTTTTCACCGCGACCGCTAAACGCGCGTTTACGAGTATCGTGAATTAAATGTAAGCGCGTCCCAGACGCATACGCCTGGCTCTTCACTATATTCGCATTAAAGCGTGCGTGCACACACTCGCGAACGTGGGGAGAACGCGTAAACGCCACGAGAGAAAACGCTGCAACAGGGAGAAATTGACACGCGATTGGGACTTTCGTTTATGCGAAGAAATAGCGTTCGGCTCGCATAGCCGATGAGGTTCTTAAAATGCATTTCTAATATCCGGCTAGACTTTTTTTGATATACTTATATAGAAGGAGATAGAAGCAATTTTCGAAAATATATATATGTATCATTTACGATAGACAAATGTGGTTCGATGTGATTCAATAAAAATTCAGACAATGCAAAACGAAAAGTATTTATCTTTTTTCAAAAGCATGTACTTATGTTGTAAAAACAGTAATTTTTTTACACATGTACGCAACTATGATATAATAGTATATAATTAATTTTATCTAAAATAATATATAAAATGGAAAGTTAAGTTTTCGAGATATATGTAAGTAAATTAAATTGAAATGTATTAAAATTGTGTTGTTTCTAATAATATTTTTGCATTAATTAACTCGTACAACATCGTTTTACGTAGAAAGTAAATAAAAGATCTCGTTACATCCAGTTATATTATTTTAAATTGCTCTTTGTAAAAGCTAATCTCCTCGAATTATAGAGTCTGATGATAATGCTCAACTTTTTATAATTTCACAACCTAAGGAGATCTTATAAAATCATGATTATATTAATTGAATTAGATTGTATTATTGCGGATATCATTACAGTTAATCTAACTTCCTTCAGCAAAATGTTACGAAGATCCGTAACGAGCCACGTAATCCGATCGAAAATGGCATTGCGAAAGCGAGAGACAGTATTACGAGACGGATATTGTTTCTCTCTAGCCGTCCAAGCGGTTAATTAGTCGAATGCGTGTATATCTATGCATGGAGAAGCATGCATCTCGTTGCCCCGTTTCGCACATGCATAATCGCCCACGAAGGCTGACTTTGATGGCACGCCGAGAGTTCGCGTCTCGTACGGTTACACGCAATGAACACTTTCGAGCCGTTCGCGAATTATCCGTCGTTGCTTTCACCGATCGTGCGTGAAACGAGGCCGAACATCGTGTAGGAACAATTGTGTAGAAACACGAGCAGTGCCTGCAGATTAAGGCTTGATACTGACCCTGACCGAACCAGGCGACACTTTGGCGAGGCCGACGAAATATCCCTGGGCAATGATAGAAACCGGAGCGATTTCGACGAGCGCTGAAGACTTACATATTTGCGTAAAAGAAAGTTGAATGCTATCATGTATTAATTGTAATAATAATAATTAATTGTACGTTCGTCAAAGCGATCTATACCATAAACCAAAAATACTTTCAAAAAGTAGAAGAAATAAGAATTTCGATAAAAATTTATACATAACTTCATTTTTAGTATAAATAAATAGTATAAATAAATAGGTGTCCGTTTCTAATCTTTAAAATTAATGTAATTATTTTGCACATAAAGAACTAAATTGTACGGATTACTTTTGCAAGAAACTTTCCGTTTTCTGTAGATATTTATTAAATTAATAAAAATAAAAAAAAAACAAGAAATTTATATTTCTTTTACGTGTCATTTAAATTAACGTGTCATTTAAATTACTTTTATGTGCCCAGAGCAATAAAATTTGACCTAAATTATGACCGGTTTTAATTTCCTCTAGACAAATTCTAAATGTACAATTATTCAAATAACATAAATGTTCGAAAGGTATCAAAAAATGTGCAAAACGTTTATAAAAATGTTTATATCGCAAACTTCTATAAATTTTTTATATAGATATTTGTAATGTATAATTTTTATATTGTTAAAATAAGATATGAATTCGTAAAATAATTTATTATTATTATATATTTTAATTTTTAATTGTCAAAGATTAAGATAAAGATTAATTTCATTGAACTGTGATACGTTCATTAATCTTGTCCCTACACATGTGCGTCCTATTCTATCTATTAATTTTTATTATATTTCATTACTTTACATTACATTTATTATAATCAAGTCGAAAAAGTAATTAGTCTTTCAAGTGTAAATTAATTATATATTTAAAAAATTAAAAATAGATACTTATTTATACTAAAAATAAAATGTTTACATATTTTAATGTAATGTTAATTAAACGTGTTAATTTTTCTGTATTTTATAAATACCTAGATAAAATGGACAATGTTGTAAAATTTAAAAGCTTTAAAAGTAATACCCATAAATTGTATTACGTTATAAAATG